TGGGACAAGGCTTTTACCAATTGAGCTACCTGGCCAGGGCCTCACTCCTGATATTTATGTGGGTGTAGAAGCAGTCCATTATGAGTCTCCACCCCGCCTACCAGTCTCAATGTGGCATCTTCTATATAGCCTTAGCTTTAGGACTTCTGTTTAGCCGTATTTCAGGTGGTTTTAAATGGTGGTGGTTCTGTTGTGTAGCTGTAATTTTGATGTGGTTATGGGAAGCTGTGAATACTGCATTTTCCTATTCTCTAATCTTGACCAAAAGCCCTTGTCATTTTCTTTTTGTTGTTGTTAATTCCATTGATTTTTAGAGAATGGAAAGCAAGGAAGAGAGAGAGAGAGAGAGAAAGAGAGAGAGAGAGAGAGAGACTCATCGATTTGTTGCAGCCGTACTACCCCTCCCCCACACATTCCCTTGTTATGCCAGAACTCAGGCTGGTGGGAAGCAACAAACCATATGCACTGAGAGATTCAGAAAAGAACTATTTTATTCACACGGGTACTGGCTCAGGGAGTCCCCTCCAAAGGCTGAGCACCATGTCTGGGTTCTGACCTTCTTTTATACATGACTAGAGGCCCAGTGCATGAAATTTGTGCAGGGGGGGGGGCGTTGTTCCTTCACCCACTCCCATCTGGGACTGCTAGAGGGATGCCCAGTGGGATCAGGCCTAAATGGACAGTCGGACATCCCTCTCACAATCCAGGACTGCTGGCTCCCAACCACTCACCTGCCTGCCTGCCTGATTGCCTCTAACCGCTTCTGCCCATCAGCCTGATCACCCCCTAACCCAGGGGTGGGCAAACTTTTTGACTCGAGGGCCACAATGGGTTCTTAAACTGGACTCAGAAGAAGGAGCTGCAGCTGTGTTTCCCGACGTTGCCATGTTAACACTGCTGCTAGTGAAGGAGCAGCGGGGAGAGCAAGAGAACCCTCCACTCTTTCGGCTCCGCGGGCTGGATAGAACAGCCGAACGGGCCGGATCCGGCCCGCGGGCCATAGTTTGCCCACAGCTGCTAACCACTCCCCTGCCAGCCTGGTTGATGCCTACCTGCTCCCCTGCCGGCCCAATTGCCCCTCTAACCGCCCTCCCCTGAAGGCCTCGTCACCCCTAACTGCCCTCCCCTGCAGGCCTGATCCCCTTGACTGCTCTCCCCTGCTAGCCTGATCCCCCTAACTGCTCTCCCCTGCCTGCCTGATCCCCCTAACTGCTTTCCCCTGCTGGCCTGATCCCCCTAACTGCTCTCCCTTGCCGGCCTGATCTCCCTAACTGCTCTCCCCTCCTGGTCTGATCCCTCTAACTGCTCTCCTCTCCTGGCCTGATCCCTCTAACTGCTTAACTGCCGCCTTCTGCCTTCTCCCTTCTGCCTTCTCCCATGGCGCCTTCTCCCCCCTGCCTCTGCAAAAGGGACCGTGATGCTGGACCGGCCAGCCCTCGGCCCTTGAAGCTGCTGTGGCTTTGTCTGGAAGGACGTCCGGAAGGATGTCTGGAAGACATCCGGTCTAATTATTATATTACCCTTTTATTAGTATAGATTCCTATGACTTTATTTTTTTGCATTTTGTTGATTCTGTTATTTAATACAGTAAGTTCTTACTTAATGTCATTGTCAATAGGTTCTTTGACTTTAAGTGAAACAATGTGAATGAAACCAATTTTATCACAGCTAATTGATATAAACAAGAGTTAAATTTCTAAGGTATCCCATTAACATCATAACAAAACATTAGATGAAAGAAACTACATTATTTGAGGACCTGCTGTAGTGTATTTTACTCAGTACACTATCAAGATACAGTCATATAGATTTTCAAGCTGTGTTGATGGATGCAAACAGAATGAAGAATGCAAACCCATCATACTTGTATGTCTTTTATAACTATTAACTTATGTATCTGTGTTTGAAATCAAGTCCTGTATATACATTGTGAGAGCTTCTGAATTTTACAAAGACTTTTTACAGAGGAATTTAACTATTTTAAAGGCCATGATTATTTTTAGGCCATTTTTAGGCCACTGTTCTCCCCTGCTGTCCTGATCCCCCTAACTGCTCTCCCCTGCCGGCCATTAATATTAAAAGACCATTTTAATATTTTTTGTTTTTGTTCAAGCTTCCCTAATTGCCAATAATAATACCTTAAAAAAAAGACGTTTTTATATATTATTTTGTCCAACTCATAGCAGCCCTAACAGAGCTTTTTAGTTTTCACTATTACAAACTTTACTGTATTCCTTATTCATAAACCTTGGCATATGTCTCTATCAGGCACATTCTAAGAGGCAGAATTGCTGACTCAAAGGTATACACTCTTAAGGCTTTTGATACAAATTTTCCAGTTCCTATTATTTTATCCTATTAAGGTTTAATATTTTTACTGTATTTATTCAATTAATTAGAGGAAATATTTTAATATTGCTATTAAATGTGATGTTTGTTCATTACTAAAACTATTAGGTCCATCTTTTTTTTTTTTTTTAATAGTAATCAATCTTCTGGCAAATAAATTGCAAAAATAAGTTTGGCATTTCCCTTCTGCTTTGTTTTGGTTTTTTAGAGATTTTGCCTTTTAATTTACAAATTCTTTTACATAGACATTTAAAATTTTTATTGTGAAAATTTTCAATCTTTCTTTTATGAGTCTTCCCCCCTTTTTGCTTATATGCTTAAAAAGCTATTCCATATCTAGTGATTATATAAATTGTCATTAACACTGAAATGAAATTGTTAAATATAGAGTATTAAAAAACTTTTACTATCCCAACAAAATTTCTTATTGCTAATTATTTAAATTCAGCCTACTGTTATGAACTTATTGAAGAAATGATTCCCCCCTTTTTTTAAAAATTAAATCTTTATTGTTCAGATTATTACATTTGTTCCTCTTTTTTCCCCCCATAACTCCCCTCCTCCCAGTTCCCGCCCCACCCTCCGCCCTCACTCCCCACCCACTGTCCTCATCCATAGGTGCACGATTTTTGTCCAGTCTCTTCCCGCATCTCCCACATCCCTTTCCCCCCCAAGAATAGTCAGTCCATTCCCTTTCTATGTCCCTGATTCTATTATAATCACCAGATTATTTATTCACTTGATTCTTAGATTCACTTGTTGATAGATGCATGTTTGTTGTTCATAATTTGTATCTTTACCTTTTTCTTCTTCTTCCTCTTCTTAAAGGATACCTTTCAGCATTTTATATAATACTGGTTTGGTGGTGATGAACTCCTTTAGCTTTTCCTTATCTGTGAAGCTCTTTATCTGACCTTCAGTTCTGAATGATAGCTTTGCTGGATAAAGTAATCTTGGCTGTAGGTTCTTGGCATTCATCACTTTGAATATTTCTTGCCACTCCCTTCTGGCCTGCAAAGTTTCTGTTGAGAAATCAGCTGACAGTCGTATGGGTATTCCCTTGTAGGTAACTGAGTTTCTTTCTCTTGCTGCTTTTAAGATTCTCTCTTTGTCTTTTGCTCTTGGCATTTTAATTATGATGTGTCTTGGTGTGGTCCTCTTTGGATTCCTTTTGTTTGGGGTTCTCTGTGCTTTCTGGACCTGTAAGTCTATTTCTTTCACCAGGTGGGGGAAGTTTTCTGTCATTATTTCTTCAAATAGGTTTTCAATATCTTGCTCTCTCTCATCTTCTGGCACCCCTATAATTCGGATATTGGTACGCTTGAAGCTGTCCCAGAGGCTCCTTACACTATCTTCGTATTTTCGGATTCTTTTTTCATTTTGCTTTTCTGGTTGGGTGTTTTTTGCTTCTTCGCATTTAAAATCTTTGCCTTGATTCTTGCGCTCCTCTGGTCTGCTGTTGGGAGTCTGTATAGTATTTGTTATTTCAGTCCGTGTATGCTTAATTTCTAGTTGGTTCTTTATCATAACATCGAGGGTCTCATTAGATTTCTTGAGGATCTCGCTACATTTATTGGTGGCTTCTAGACAGTTCTTAAGAGACCTTAAAAGTGTGGTTCTGAACTCAATATCCTCCATTGACAGTTTTGCCCTGTTTCTTTGTCTCCACATTTTTTATGCTTTCTTGGTGCACCCCCTAGTGGACTTTGTGTGCAGTCTTGTTGTAGTTAAGCCTTGATTGTTGCCGGCAATACCAGGGTGATTTGACCTCCAGGCTAACTGGCTATGAGAGTCCGCTGTGTCTGCAGTGGGAGAGCTTCTGTGCTGGATCTCTAGGGCGGTGCTAATCTAGCGTTTGCCTGAGGCTATCCGGCAAATGGCTCTGTGCAACGCTTGGGCAGGGCGGGTCCCCGGGGATCTACAGGGTGGGCAGGAGCGAGCAGTTATGGCTGCTCTCAGTTCTGTCCCTAGGGTCTCTGCCTCACAGAGTCCCAGCAACCGCTGCAAACCTCGGAGAGAAAGCTGCCTTCGAGTTCTGACCGAAGTCAGACAGTCCCGCTTCTCCCGTTTGAGTCTGGGTTCCTAGAGACTTGCCCGGATCTGGAGCTCAGAGTCTGAGACTCCCTCCCAATTGAAAACAACAACCGCGCCCTCCGCCTCCAGCCCGCTCCGTGTGCGCACTCCGCACCTGAGTATTTCACTTCAGCACTGCGCCTCCTCTGAGTCTGGGTATGATAGTCTCTTTCCTCCTAGTTGTAGAATTTCCACTCAGCCAGCCTTCCTGTGGTTCTGGATGATGTCCATTCCGTCTTTTAGTTGTTTTTTGAAGTGGTTGTACGAGGCAGCAATCTCCGGCATTAACCTATGCCACCATCTTGGTTTCTCCCCCCTTTCTTTCAGACATGGGATTTCTGCTCAATTCTGCTTCATAATCTTATCTTTGGTTTGCATTGTTCAACAAGAGCCAGTAGGTATTTTAATTTTTAAGATGATGATATTTTTGCCTCAAAGTTTATATATGAAAATCAACTCAATATTTAAAAATACCCCATACAATTCTGATTTTATTTTGGTTTTTATATTTATTTACTTATTTATTTATTTATTTATGGCTACTCCCTAACAGTAAAGCACTGGGATTTGTTTTGCAGAATCCTTGCAGCCTTTCCTGGAAGCCTGTAGCAACACTCTGTTTTTTCGTACTTGTTCTGTGCTGCTTCGAACCCCTAAGCTTGATCTTCAAATACTAGAAAAACTCAGTATTATTCTACAGAAACTTTCTAAAATCAAGTAAGAATTTTTTATTTCTAATACTTTTATTTAAAATATCTTTTTGTGCTCATTTAGACCTTTCTGAATCCTATACTAGTTCAACTTTGATTATTAAATCAAAATTTTTAGTAAATGTAGAAAATTGAGATTCATGCATGTTAATACTTGTTTAATACTTAGTGATACAGTAAAATTATAGTTTTAATCTTAGAATGTCTTGTTGTTTCTGCTAAGTGAACTTTAAATACCACAGAGTATGTAAAACTAAGAACAATTTTTAGCAATCAAGTGATAGTATTAGAACAAATTATTGCACACTGGTATTCTGTACTACCACAAGTGAAAATAAAAATGATAATAAAGTAAATTTGTCAGATTCTTATTATGTACTAAAGTTAGTTTAGGGAATGAGAAAGAAGCAGGCAGAAAAGATTTTGAATAATGTATATTTTAGGAAACTATGAGCTTCCTGCCACTAATTTGGATTTTACTGTAAGAATTAGGGGCTTTCTTTTTATATTTCCTCTTAAGCAAATATTGGTATAATCATTTTAAAAATTATAAATGGATTTTGAAGCTATATTTTCTTAGAATCTTGGTATAGTCCAGTTTTTATGACAGTTAAATTATAGTTTTGGTTCAGCTCCTCTGTGCCCTTTCTTTCCCCTCAGCCATGATTTTCATGGTGGTGAACTTAGGTATTTACCAGGCTTCATTCAAGTATAAATGCATCTTAAAAGTACTTGCAGATATGTGATAGTGGGTTCATATGCCCTATTTGGTACCTACCACATCATAGTAAATTATTAGTTATCAAATTACAATCTCATACTCAGATCACCAAATCATTGGTTTTCATCTGGTGTCAGTTAAACTTACCAAATCATTGTCTTCCTTTTCTTGAAGACTGACTGTAATATGATTGTCTTGATTTGTAATCAGTAAATTCTCAATAAGGCCTGTTATAGTTAACCTGTGGTGCCATGAAACTGCAATTACATTCCTTAGGTTTCATTCTTCCTTAGGTGTTAATTCACCTAAGGGATTTTTTTTAAGTGGTCCCAAAGTTGCAAATACAGCCTTGGGTTGGGAACAGTTGATGCTCAGTCTTAAAGTAAATCTTTAAAACCACAAAGATATAAATTCTTCTGTATCAAATGGATGGTTATATACAGTTATTTAATAATTTCTCCCAAGATACAAGTATATGTAGACAAGAAATAAGAAATATGTAATCAGATATAATTCTAACTAATTGATCATGAAATTACTAACTGGTTATTAGAAAGAGGATGGTTGAAAAGTTATTTTGGTACAAAGGCAAAAGGTAAACCAATATTCTGCTACTTTAAAAAGCCCAGCTTACTTAAAATATGTTGATCTAGTACTTGTATTTGACTTTTTCTAGCTGTTACAGAAAAAGCAATTCTCAACTGTTGTAATAGTGAATTGCTGCAGTTTTCAGGAGGATGAACCATTTTCTTTTTCCTTGAATACTTTGTTATTTTAGGCCTATCTTATAAAACCCACTTTATTTGTCTTGACATGTTAATTCTTTTTTTTAAATACATTTTTATTGATTTCAAAAAGGAAGGGAGAGAAAGAGAGAGAAACATCAATGATGAGAGAGAATCATTGATCAGCTGCCTCCTACATGCCCCCTACTAGGGATGGAGCCTGCAACCTGGGCATATGCCCTGACCAAGAATCAAACCGTGACTTCCTGGTTCTTCGGTTGATGCTAAACCACTAACCCACCCCAGCTAGGTGGCATGTTAATTTCTTAGTTACCTATTTTCTTCACTATTTTTAAAAACAGATGCCATTTTTCTACATTTACACATGTTATCAATATAATTACAAATGAATTCCTTAAGTCTGTGTAATTAAATTAATGTACTCATTCTCTTACAGGAGTAATAAGAAGTTCTTTGAACTTTTTACAATTCATCTGATGCTTCAGGAAATACAAAGGACAACACATCCAGAACATGCCTTTCTCTGTATTAACCTAAATTCAACTCTGTTCAATTTGGGTTTAACGAAATGCAACTCCCTGGCCTCCAATTCAAGCCATTAGACTGGCTTATTATTATTTTATATACATTATATATGTGTTGCTTATTTGTAAGATTGCAAAAATCATCAAAGTAACTAAAAATCTACCAAGTAAAGTTTCAGTAGCATCATTTATCATGAAAAATAAAATAGAAAATTTTTTTACTTTAAGAATGAAATCTAGAGGAGCTCTGGAATGATTGTAATATTACAGTTCAACTTAGGTAGTACTAATGTGTAAAATAGAATTTCCAGAATTAATGACACTGGGGTTATTTTTTTGTAAAAATGCTTTATAAAAATTCTTAAAATTATGTGATTATTTTGAATAAAACTGGTGTTTATCTGGGAACAGGGCTAGATCATGTTGTTATTCTGTTTTCTTAATATATTAGAAATCTCCCCCCTTGGAAACAAAAGTACATAATTTTTAACTATCACCTTCATATTATAACTTTTCTATATATCCTAGACTCACAGATACTGATTTTTTATTGTGCTGTCCATGAAACACTTTAGAGAAAAAATTTTGATTTTTCTAGTTTATTTTCCAAAACAATTTAATTATCACCAAAGCATATTTGTACAAAATAAAAAAACTTTTACACTGAAAAATTAAAATGTCACAATCCCAACACCCAGAGATATCTGTCTCCTGCTGTAGCCAAAGATGAGTGAAGTAGCCAAAAATAAAAAAATTCCATTATGGATACTTTTGTTAACAGAACAAAAGACTAGCTTCTCAGAACACACAGTGCCTAGAGATGGGACCAGTAAGACAGTGGATGCCAGGTGGTAGAGCAGAGGTTGGCACTTCAGTATGGGATATTTGATGTTTCTGAAGAAGAGAACAAGACAAGTAAAGCAGAGTATTATTCAAAGATGTAGTTGAATAAAGATTTGGGGGGCAGGGGCGGGGGGATGCTAAAGAAAGATCTGCATGTACAGATTGGAAGAGCTCATCATGTTCCAGAAAAATCACTGAGGAACGGAGTCTAAATTAGACACATCCTGTACTTTAGATACATTACAATTAGAATTTAATGGTAAGTATTAAATATTAAGGATAAAGCAGAAACAAACAAAAGCCAGTTATCTGCAAGAGTAGAAAAACAAAGCTAGCCTCGTACAATGCCAGAAGTTGATAAGTAACCATCCCCTCAACTTTTGGAGAGGGAAAATTTAAACTAAGAATTTAAAATAAGAATTTAAAATTTAAATTTAAATTTAAAATTTAAAATAAGAATTTATACCTAGTGAAATGTCTTTCATAGGTGAAGACAATGGAGAGAAATGTTCAGATATGCAAGTGCTCAGAAATTATACTGTTTACATGCTATTCTTGAAAAAACTAACTGCATAGATTATTCTAACTAATTTAGAGATGGAGAATTGAATTTACTAAATCAAACTCATTCTAAAAGACTGTAGTGAACATCAAAACCACTTGAACATCAATACATTTAAATAATTGTTGTAAATCCATTTTTAAAATGGAATAGAATGTTAAATTATTCAAAAGAATACATAATGGGAAAAGAAGCAATTTATTAGTAAGAATTTTGGTAAGACTATGTTAACCAATGTTAAAAACAGGATTAAATGGGACCCTGAGATTGAGGTGAGATGGAGAAGCTAGTAAGTTTTCCACATTTTCATCAGAAATAGAATGTTCCATTTCAGTATTAACTTTTGACAATTAGAAAAATGAAGGATAAAAGAATGCTTTTGGAAAATGTCAAAGAAATTATAAATATTAAAAGCAAGATAAATATTCTCAAAACATTGAAGAAGAAAAGCAAATTATTTACAGTAACATAGCAAAATATAGAAAGCCAGGAACATGTAAAACACAAAAGTATTTAGGATGAATAAAAGGCTTTAAAATTATAAATGAATTTTGTATTACCCTGTGCTGATAAACTTTAAAATCTGGATGAAATGGATGATTTTCTAGAAAAAGACATCAAAAGTATCTCAATAAATCCAAATATAAAATCATTAAACCTTTTATAAAATTATGGAAGAATTTTTTTAAATGACATCAAATCCAGGTGTTTTATAGATTGTTTTAACATTTCAAGGAAGATATATTTAAAGCTATTTAAACTGTCCCAGAATGTTGAAAAGGCATTTTAATGTATTTTCTAGAGTGAGCATGAGCCCAATACCAAAAAATTGACAAGGAAAGTAGCTACCCTGGCCAGGTAGCTCAGTTGTTAGAGTGCCATCCCCATACACCAAGGTTGTGGGTTCGATCCCTGGTCAGGGCATATGAAAAGAACCAACCAATGAATGCATAAGTAAGTGGAAAAACAAATCATCTCTCTCTCTCTCTCGCTCTCGCTCTCTCCCTCCTTCCCTCCCCCCCTTCCTCTCAAAAAATCAATAAAAATAAAAAAGAATTATGAACAAATCAACATCAACTATATTTTACAGAAATACTAATCCATGACCAAGTAATGTAGCATGCATTCTAGAAATATAGTTGACCTCAACACAGTTTTATTGTCAATAAATATATGTATTTTCTCTTATGACTTTCTTAACATTTTCTTTTCTGTAGCTTACTTTATTGTAAGAATACAGCATATATTAAATGCAGTATAGAAAATATGTGTTCATCAACTGTTTGTTATCAGTAAGGCTTCCCATCAGCAGTAGGCTATTAGTTAAGTTTTGGGGGAGTCAGAATTTATATGCAGATTATTAGCTGCGGGGATGGGGTGGTTTGGCACCCTTTACCCCCACATACTTCAAGGATCAGTTGTACAAAGTTGGTATCCTGTTTTGTTTTAAGTATTTTATTATATTTGTAGAGCAACAAAGGAAAATCATACACTCATTTTAATAAATGCCTAAAAATATAATTCAACTTGCAGTCCTGATGAAACTTAGTACAGTATGTTCACAGGGGTGGGGAAACTTTTTTCTGCCAAGGGCCATTTGGATATTTATAACATCACTAGAGGCCCGGTGCATGAAAATTCATGCACCGAAGGGCGGGTCCCTCAGCCCGGCCTGCCCCCTCTCAGAGTCCGAGAGCCCTCAGGGGAGGGAGGTGACCCAGTGATCAGGGGAAGGCAATGCCCCCATCACACCTCTGCTGCTGCCACTGCTGGCAGTGCAAGCCTCGGCCGGCCCTGGTTACCTGAGTCTCGGGCGGCCCTGGGCAGCTGGGGGGCTGAGAGGCCTGGGGGACTCTGAAGGCAGGCACGCGGAGTGGCCGGGCCCGCCTGGGGGTGGGCCCAGACTTGCTGCGCACCTGTCGCTCCGGTGGGGCTGAGGGGACTGGGCACTGCCATCTTGTGACTGTGGGCGCTGCCATCTTTGAGGGCAGGGCAGGTAATTAGCATATTCCCTCCTTATTGGCTGTGGGTGCCACCATCTTTGTGATGGCATGAAGGTCTATTAGCACATTCCCTCTTTATTAGATAGGATTCTCAGGCCATACAAAATTATCAACTTGAAATTAGCCTGCTATATTTGGTCAAACATTTAATTAACTCCCCCCTAATGCCTTGGCCAAACCAGACCAAATGATTTTGAGGACCTTACTATGGCCCATGGCCCAGACGTTCCCCACTCCTGGTCTAAAGGAATATAACATTAACCACAAATTTACTATGAAACATTAAAGACATACCTCTTAAAGTTAGGAATAAAATTAGGGAGTCCAATAACCACTCTAATACATTCTGAGTTATTTAAAAGAACATAACTTTGGGAAAGGAGAAAAACAAAGGTTATTTGCAGATGACATGATTACCTGGAAAACTGTAGGATTCTTATAAAACTTCAGCAAGATGTTTAATTGTAACATGAACATATAAAAAGCAAAGCTTTTAAGTATTAGAAATGAATATTTCACTTAAAATATGAATAAACTTAATTTATATAATATTCTTCTTGAAATTAATAAAATGTTTAAGTTTGTGTCTTAAAGTTGGCAGTGAATTTCAGATTTACATAACAATTTGCACTCAGAAATTTTTATGGTAACACAACATTAGTATGGCCAAATGTTAACTTGTTACACTTTTGTGTTAAATTAATATTTATAACATGCAGTTTTTCTGAACGAGCATAAAATTTTTTTCTTAGAATTACTTTGTTAAAAACAAACAAATAATACCATATCCTTATTCTGAAAAGGTATGAACATTGAGGGAAGGGGGAAGCTTCAATTTAGTTTATTCTTTATATGTCTTGAGTCATCATGTTTCTGGTCCTTGAATGCCAAGTTCTTGAGTCTCAATGTCATAGAAATGAGCACTGAACTCAGTACAAGATCAAGCAGATAGAGTTTATTTAAAAGAGCTTGTGCACAAGGGAGTCCACCTGAAAGGAGAAGTTGAGCTTCCCAAGGTTGTTCTTGTGGATAACTTATATAGGGGCCTTGGTGTGGGTGTAGGGCAAGCATGTCAATCTCATGGCCCATGGGCTGCATGTGGTCCACAATGAATATTTTTGTGGCCCAGCCAATATACTGGTAACGATATATAAGAAACATTTTTGGATCTGGAAAGATGGCGACCGGCAGGAAGGTAGGAAGGGAGAGTGTGTGAGAGAGTGAGGGAGCTATAGAGGAGTGTGTGAACGTGTGTGTGTGTGTGTGTGTGTGTGTGTGTGTGTGTGTGTGAGTGAAATAGGGACAGTTAGATCCTGCAGGTCTTTCAAGGGGCTGCCAATCCAGGCAGTCATAGATGGCAAAACCCTTCTGCCACTGCAAACACTTCAGGGAGGACACCAGCAGCTCAGAGACCACGCCATCTTGAGGAACAGAACGGCTTGAGACTAGGATCCTAGCCTTGCCACCACCCAGTCTGGTCTCGGTAGCAAACCAGAACCCTATAGCCACTCTGGTAGAAGACCTATGGCCACAGATTTCTGTGAGTCACAAAGCCAATCCCCCTCCCCCACTGCCCCCGCGGCAGCAGCATAGGAACTGCCAGACCCCAGCTGCACAATAGGGCTTTCTGCACACAGCAGCAGCAGCTCTGCCTGACTTTGAGCCTTGGTGTTGGACATGGGAAG